ACGCTATTCACGAACATGTCGAGGTAGTCAAATTTCGCGACAGTGCGGTATGCGTAGCGATATAATAAGGCAATAGACATTTGAATAATAGTGTTTTGTTGCATTTGAAGTGAAATTAAGTTGAGTTTGATTATAGTTCAGTGTAGTCAATTATTATTAAATTGAAGGGGAAAAACGTAACAATATTAAAAATTCAATGAATTCATTACAACATAATTGTTACTACAATAGACTATATCATTTGCTTTAGAGAAGTTGGGTTTTATTTCATCTATACGATGTGGAAAATAAATAACTTTTGTATCGGAAAAAAATAAATTCCAGTGGTTCAATGTAAACCCCAAAAGCTTAGCCTGTTTTTTTAGACAGATTCAAATCACGTACTAAATCGCATAACTCACTTTCTGTCAATAAGTGAGGTTCTTTTGAAGTGTGCGGTTAATAACTTGGGTCACTATCTTCATATTTCTCATGCGAATTTAGTATATTCCTTCGTTTGTTAATACCTCAGTCGTTGCCGGTAAAGTTGTAGGTACCAGGTAAATTTCCGATTTTCTTTCGTTTCTGTTTGAAGCTGATTCAATACTGATTTTCAATTTCCGATTATAATCAATTTGATATCAGTTTGTTTATTCGCATACCATTCAATGAATAACTCGAATCAAAATGTTACAATGCTATTTACCCATATCTAGTTGATAATGAATCATATAAAAGCACAAAGCGGAATACTAATAAATTATTGGCATTTGGAATCCATTGAAACCTTCATGAAAGAGAATGTTAATGTTTTGAACTTCCATTGTTTGAGAATATCAACAGATTCGAAACCTGAGTCTAGATGAATGAGTGAAATGGACAAAAAAGTAATAATATTCAAATATTTGGATGAGTTAGATAAAAAATATTGAAATGAAAATGTAACAGGTGGGAGGAAATGTAACAGAAAAAATAATAAACGATCATCTCATGAAGACAACCGTAGACTCTAATACTTTAAATGTTATGATAAGAATTGCGAAGGTTGGAATTAATCTGTTTCGTTATAAGTCAATTCATTTACTGAGAATGACTTCAAAAGTTTTATATTGATAGTTTTGCGAGTCAAACTGTTCCACATGATATCAAATTTGCGGTATTATGTTCTAGTGAACGTTCTCTACTGTGTGGTCTTATTCAGGAAAGGGGTTAGTAGCACATAAAAATATTGGTACTTGTGATGCACTGTTTGGAACCTTTCATGTAGTAATGCATATTACTGGAGTTTTTCCCAACACCAAACCGTTATTTTAACATCTCGACACGTGTTTCGATCACCAAGTGATCGACTTCAAAAGGAAGATCAAACTAATCATACTTACAAAGCTACCCTTATTTATACCATAGATACCTGTTCTAGATACCTGCGTCTTAATTTCACAATATTGCCTCATTTACTACTTTTAAATTAATTTCACAATGTGTCCTTATGTAATAGTCAGGAAAATCTAAAAAATAAAATATTATTTGAACTATTAGGTATTGGTCCACCATCGTTATTCATAATATTATTTACCCTCTCATAGGCATCTAGATGCCTATGAGAGTGTAGAATATAATATCATGTGGAAACATAATATCATCAAAATGTTTCGGAAAAAAAGATCAACAGGCGACGTTCTATCGTATGTCACCCATATTTGGAATAACGCAATCGAGAAACATGGAGAGTCGAAAGGTGTTGAGCTTTATATTTCTAAGGCCTCTGACCTTGTGTGGCATGAGGATTTGCTGGGCAAACTTCGATGCTCCAGCTTCCTGAAAGGACGTTCGTTGCAAATGGTCATCGGTGAATTTCTATCGAATACTTTTACCATCAACGCTGGTGTTCCCCAGGAATTCATATTTTCTCTTACACTCTTCTTATTGTATATCAACGACTTATTGTAAAAAATCAAGAACTCAATATATTACTTTGCTGATGACAACACACTTGTCTCGTCATTGCATTTGGATTCCAGGACATCGGCTGCACATCTTCACCGGCAGCAGGAGGTTGTATATCTTAATGAGGATCTAGAAAAAAATTCGAATTGGGTTGAAAGTATCCAGGTTCAATTCAATGCCATGAAAACCCAGGGAAAAAGAATAATGTCTCCGAACCGGATATAATAATGTCAGGACAGACAATTCCGCCTGTCAGCTTCGATAAATTTGTTGGAGGTTAAAATGGACACCTATACCTCTTGGCACAATCATGTCACTGGAACTGCAAAGACTGCATCTCAAAAGCTTGGAACACTGTTCCGAATCGTAAAATTGTACACACCTCAGCAACTTTTCATGCTTTATGAAGCTCAGATCAGACCTTCTTTAGAGTATTTTTCTCATTTATGGTGCTCCGCCCCAAAGCATACCATGAAACTGCTGCATTCCAGCTAGAAAAGAGTCATATGCCTGGAGACACGAACATCACTTTCAACCTTGATAGTCTGTAACATTGAAGAAAGGTTGGAAATTTGTCTTTCATAGATACTTTCATGGAAGGTGTTCAAGTGACTTGCCACATTTAATTCCACCAAGAGCGGTACATATCAGAAATACGCAATGGATTGTGGGTACTCATCGTTTTTAGGTTCAACTCAGTACACCTCTAACTTCACTAATTGAAAACTCTTTCGTTTGGAGCGATTCAAATCCAACGTTACTTGTTACTTTCGCACAGGCACTGCTCATAGAACGCCTTAATGAGTTTTCTGTAGTGCTTGTGGTTTAACCTAAAAAATCCAAGAAATGAGATCCAATCAAATGATTCGCAATCAAACTTGAAAACCTCAATGGACACGAAAGAGCGTTGAAATGTTTCTTTTTCATACATAGTAGGTTTTATGAAACAGAAAATCAAGTTTGAGCTGAGGATGATAAAAAAAAATTTAATTCCAATTCTTATGTATTGATCATTTCATCATCAATTCTCATCTATGAAATGAGTTGTGTGAATAAAACAAATGAATATGAGTGTTTACTTTGGCATGGTGTATTCTACACTTAGCTACAATACTATCGCTTGGGGTCAAGCCAACGAATGGGTGCGTGCTTTCAGGCAACAAAAGAGAATAATAAGATTAATATTCGACTTAGATTTTGGTGAGTCTTGTAGAGGAACTTTTAAAAGAATACATTGTATAAATGGCACAAAAAGGTAATATATTATCTATCTATCTATCTATCTATGACATGTATATTTTTTCATTGCAAGTAGCCATTAAAAGTAATATGAAATAAGAATTGAACTATATCATCAAAAAACCAACACCGACTCGACAATATATTATAAACAATGACTTAACTTTGTGGAAGTAACGAAAATTAAGAACTGAACTTAAATCTTCATTCACCCGAGAACTTTCAAGTTTGGGTATAGGAACAGTGAACATAATTTGAATGAAAATAAAAGAACCTTCAGTTAGAAGTCACAATATGTAGGGTGTTTCATTAACAAAATCTAAGATTAAAAAAACTAATCAATACAGTTTATTGAATGATTTTCACTATAAAAGGGTTTTACGAAAACCGCGACACGTGTTCCGCTATACAAAAGCTTTCTCAAGCATAAACTGAGAGTTACTTCCAAATTGTTATTCTAAAATAGTAATTTAGAAGTAATTCTCAGTTTATGCTTGAGGAAGCTTTTGTATAGCGTGTCACAGTTTTTGTAAAACCCTTTTATAGTGAAAATCATAGAATAAACTGTATTGATTAGTTTTTTTAATATGGATTTTCATCAAGTATCGGCCAGTTCTATTCAATTAAATCTAAGATAATTAAGTTTCAATATGATCAGATTTGGCTTGTTGTGAAAACACTGTAAAGAAACGGGTTAGATTGACTAGAAGGATTCATTGAGAAAAGGCTTCTGAAGTCAATCTTCATTTCTGATTCACTCCATGTGGTTTTTCAGAAAAATTGCAATATCTTGAAATCAGATTCATAAACCCAATGAAAGCCCTCTGAGAATTCATCGTGGAGTTGACAGACATTACATAGGCAGTCTCTCAACCATGAGAGCTACACAAAACTCTTTCTCCGAATACAACTCCAAACGCGATAAAACAAATCCATTGAAAAAAAAAAGAAATATTTTATTTTTAATGACAGCGACAACTATGCCAGTCACACAATTTTTTTCTCCAAATAAAACATACTATTTCTTTTGCAAACAAGATAATGATCTTCAAACTAATGTGGCAGTAAACTGTCACTTTCACCGCCGCCGGAGGTGACGATGACGATGTAGGGGATAAATGTCAACTTCAGTATTCGAATGTCAGTCACGAAACATCACATACTTTAGAAGTTTGAAAAAAAATATAACTTTCACTTTTAATTCAATTAAAAAATCTGCTTTATTGATTGTTTATTTGTAATTATTGAAAAAGTTTGTGTTTTACGATTCGAAAGATGAATAATAAACCATCTTATGCCTTTGATGGAATCTCTGGAACTGTCATTAAAAAGATAGGACCCCACATACTCGCACGATTAATGCATATTATAAACTCATCTTTTGCAGTAGGGAAATTTCCGTCTAAATTGAAAACTTCCGTGATTTTGAAGGAAGAATGGTCAGAAAACATCGAAAACTATAGGCCACTATCAGTACCCTCTGTTTTATCGAAAATAATTGAATATGCTTTGATTGATTAGCTCATGAACTTCTTAAACAAGTACCAAATAATTAGTGGTAACATGGTTTTCGCAAAAAACACTCTACAATGTCTGCGATAATATCGTTCTATGAAGAAATTATTGAAGCCATTGAAAACGGTGAGTGCCCGACAGGAATCTTTCGTGACTTCAGTCGTGCTTTTGACTGTGTTCACCATGGCACACTACTAAACATCTTATACAAATATGGAATCACAGGTAATATTAGTTAATGTTCCGTGGTAGAGAGTAGACGTGTTTCAGGTCGCTCCCCAATATTCGTTGTTAGTTTCAAACTTCTGTGTTGAACCAAAATGTCTAGGTCAAGAAGAGAAAACCAACTCGATATCGAAACACAAGTACAGCAAATCTGTGAAAAAATTATATCATCTGAGTTGTTCTTGCAAAAATTAGTTGAAGTGATGACCACGCAAATTCCCGCCATGATCGAGGCACGCATCGAGGTCTATAAAGAAAAGGTTAGCTCATTAGAAGATAGAGTGGGTCAGTTGGAACAGGCAGCTAAACAAAATAACCGGCGTATATATGGTATAAGGAAGACAGAAGTCAGGATGGAAGCCATGTCCAACAAGTAGTTGCCATATTAAAAAACAAAATGAAACACAATGTCAATGAGGAAGATATAGAATTCAGTTACCGACTGCCTGTCAGCAAGAAAGGTGGCCACAACCTTTATTGGTTAAATTTCTTTGAAAGGAAAAAAGAAATTATGTATTCTACAACAAATCCAAGCTGAAAGGAACGAATGTCGTCATCAAAGAAGATCTTACGCCCACTCGTTATGGACTTTTAACTAAGGCAGCTGTTGCATTTGGTTATAAGAACACCTGAAGTTTGGGCGGGCAAGTTCGAGCAAAAATTAATGGTAAGGTAAATAAAATTGTTTTCCATGATGACATCGCAAAATTTACCCAAACCCTAACACAGAAATAATCTTATCTGGAATGAGCAGACCTGTATTTGCACAGTACCCTTGGGTAGAGAAGAGAGTAGCGGCTGCAAATCAGAAAAAGTTACTTTTTCTTTTCTCCTTTTTATATCTATTTCTTTTATTTCTCAGCCATTCAGAAATAGTACCTGATATTTAAATTGTTTCTTTAGTTATTATTGAAATATGATATAGAATAATCTAAGAATAATGCACTTAAATGTTCGTTCTATTTTGGGTAAATTCACTGATTTCAAGAATTTTGTCCTAACAAATGAATGTGATATTATTGCTATCAGCGAGACATGGTTGGATGAGAAAGTAAAATCGTCGGCAGTTACGATTAGCGGATATAAGTTCTTAAGAAAAGATAGGTGTTCGCGTGGTGGCGTGGTAGGAATCTATATTTCCAATAAACTTAAATTCAAACTCTTTGAAACCTGTACAAAAATTGAACAGTTATAGTTAACAGTTCAATTGCCAACGTCCGTGAACTTCATCTGTGGTGTAACCTATCGCCCACCTATCTCAGATATTGCTTCCTTCTTCGATGAATTGGATACTACATTTTCCCATTCCTTAAATATGTCTGATAATATTATTTGCATGGGCGATAAACTTATCAACAAGAGTGTGTGAGAAGAGTTCGACACTGATAGATTTAATAATGGTTACACAAAATTCTGGAGTCATAGTTTGTGATATATCGGACCACGATGCGGTTTTTGCAGATCTTGGTATTTCAAAGCCGGCACCTGTTATGAAATACAGTAGAATCTTTAAAAATGTGAAATGAATAAGGTTTGCTCCGAACTAGAGAAAATGAATTTACACAGAATATACTATACTGAAAATATAGATTAAAAGCTGAAAATACTCAATGAATCTATCCTAACAGTAATTGATCGTCATGCCCCAATGCGGTAAGTAAAATTAACAAAAGCCCCTTCTTCATGGTTGAACGATAATCTCAGAAAATTAATGAACCTCAGAGACAAAGCCAAACTGAAATACAAGCAAAATAAAACTCAAACATACCGACACTAAATATCAATTTAATTAATAGTACCATTGATACAATTCTAGGAGAATTATTTGATATTACTCTGTCTTTTAAGACTCATTACAAACAAAAATTACAAGCTCAGTCAACAAATTATATGCTTGGTCCTATGACAGATCATTGTTCATGAACTCTAAGTAAAACTGAATATACAACATTTCATACTCAATAAAACTCAAACATACCGACACTAAATATCAATTTAATTAATAGTACCATTGATACAATTCTAGGAGAATTATTTGATATTACTCTGTCTTTTAAAACTCACTGTATTAAATTATGTAAAATTCTGAATCCTAAATTTTATCAATTGAGAAACCTAAAAAGTGCATTAAATTTGGACCATCTCCTGAAATTTCACCCTGCTGAAATTCATTCCAGAATTTCTTATGGAATTATTGTATGGGGAAACACTTCAGCTGCACATAGTGTGTTCCTCTGTCAGAAGCGCATGCTAAGATGTCTCTTGGGCTGTCCACCTTACCATTCATGTCAAAACATTTTTAAAGAACATAAAATATTAACAATCAGTGGCATATTAATTCTTGAACTGTTGACATATGTTATCAATATACACTCAAAAAGAACTGTAAAACGCATACTCACAATACTAGGAAAAAAGAGAACTTTCAGGTACCCCCAAAAAATCACCAAATACTTTTGGTTTGTACTTTACAATTCACTTCCACAGAAGTTGAAGAGTTTGCTGCCAACATATATATTCAAGCGAAAACTGACAAATGTTTTTGTCGATCTGTGTCCATATACAACAAAAGAATTTAGTAGCAATTTAGCTTTATTTCAGTTATACAACATTGATAGATCATCATATGGAATTTTAATCGTATGTTTTCATGACTGATGATATTTGTAAATGTAAGAACTTTTTACTGCTTTTATTGACTTGTCCTATATTACATGTGGTCTTATAAGATGAATAAATATGTTTAAATCTGTTTAAACTCTGTTTTTCCGTTAACCAGCTATCGCACCCCTACGAACGATAACCCTCAGAAGTCGAAACTTGTGCGAGCTAAGGACTATCGAGGTATTACCGTTTAACGTGTGATTCCTAACACGGGTTGGACGATAGCAAGTGAAAATCGATAGTTCAGCCTGGGGCTTGAACCATCGACCGATTGACTGAGTGAACAACCTAAGACATGCCAATATCTCTATTTGCACTGAGATTTCTGTTAAGTTCTGCACTTACATTAAATGACTCAAATTCATTCGGGCATGATAGCGATAAATCCTTTGATCTCCTAAAGCTGGGAATCGATCTCGATAGGAGGCGGATAACCTATTTCGCATTGAGCCGGGGACGACAGGTCGACCGAAGGATGAAACAAATTGGAACATATGGAGTATAACAAAATTTGCAGACGCAAAGATATTTTTGGAGTTGAGATATCTATATTAATAATGGATGTGGTGAACTGGAGATTCAATACGATTATGTTTTTTACCACTTTTATTTGTAACTAACTTTACTGCAGTTTCGTCCTATAAGGACATTTACGTGGAAAGTTTCAATTCTCATTATTCATGATGATTTCCCACCACCTAGTAACGGCTACATCCATCCATCAATGTATTTGAATATGATTATTTTATTCGTATTATTTCAATAAGAATATACGATTCGCTGAGGTGACCCCCAGCGAATCTGGTAAAATTTCGATTATACAAGCAAACTTAAGCTGGATGATAGAAATCAGGTGATATTTTTAGTAGAAAATAAATTAATACTTACATCATATTCATTCAAAAATATTATTCAACGAGTACGTTCCAAATGCTCACGCAATTGAGAATAATATTATAATTACTTATGTTCATCTGCAGATTACTAAATAAAGTTCAAATTTGGCACTTTAGTCTAATTCCGGAGATACTGAAATGAAAAAATCATCTGTTCAGAAATTTTCAGGAAAACTATTCACACCTTCATTCAAAGTATTACATCGTAATTGGTCATAAAAGAGATTGGCACAAAATGATTTTCTGTTGGTACTATTGGCACCATGTAGAAATAAAACACATTTATATGACATTCGAAAGAAAAAGAATGCAGCTTATTTTTCACGGACTTTGAAAAAGAGGTTCGACAGTTATGTGTATAATATTATTGAACTGCATTTTTTTCACAAATAATTTAGATTGAATTCGGTCCAAAGTGAATGGGTCCATTCGACCTGCAACCGGTAAGGGTTTATTGTGACTCACATACATTTTTTTCACAAATAATTTAGATTGAATTCGGTCCAAAGTAAATGAGTCCATTCGACCTGCAACCGGTAAGGGTTTATTGTGACTCACATATACTCATATACTCGAATGAGTCCAATTTCATGATGAAAACTATAAGTTTATATAGTAAGAGAAAACTTGATTTTTTCCGCAGTGGAGCAGGCGCAAAGTACTTGCATTTTCCATTTTCCAAATATAGATGAAGCACTGACTTGGGACAGTCCAATCTCTCCATATGTATATTCAGACAACAGTGACTTGTGAACATGACTGTTAGACAACGTAGTTTATTTTTCCTGTAGTCCTGTAAATTTACTTGATGTAGATCCATAATGTAAATACATTATGGTCCCTTTGTTCTGAATTTTTCAGTGGATAGTTTACAAAACCGTAATTTGGATTTCGCAGTGTGAAAACGCTTGAGGAAGCTATTGTATAGCGAAACACGTGTTTTGTAAACTCTCCAGTGAAAATTTCACAACCAAGTGTCACTTGAATATGTTTAGTAAAAATATTGAAGCAAAGTTTTCGATCAACTTGAAGCTGAATTGAAATGTTTATTTTTCAAACAAATTAAAATTTGATGAAACTTATTGATTTCAGTGATAACATTTCAACAAATAGTTACTGCGAAACTATGAATTTTCTCCCCACTTTCTGTGACTGTAAATGCAGGATTATTATCGAACCAAACCTTCTAAATATTCGTGATTCATTTGACCGAATTTAGTTTTTTAGCCACTTGCTTCAATAGTAATTAAAACTCTGGAATAGTTATCGCGTGAATTTGGGTGATTTCAACGGTTTTCACATGCATTAATATTTTGAAGAAAAAAAACAACTTGAGTTGAGAAATGTAGGAGACGAAACATTGATAATTTTGTAATTCAAAAGGTGAGGTAAGCGTTTACAAATCAGATGTTTGCTCGGATGTGTAGGTTTCAGGTGGCAACTACTTTGCTCGGGGCGACTAAAAATGGAGACAAGAAAAGCCAGGAGTCGATGTGGTACTTTAGCATTCGCTGTGTATCCCTTCGTCCCTCTGTGTGTCTTTATTACTCAAAGAAGTACCTTAAAAGGTTTCAGTCACCACGATAATCACAACCTTTCCTGTATACGACCCACGGAAATTCCAAGATATTCTCAAACAAAAGCACCCAGAAAACGCTTGCGGATCGGATCAAGTATAAAAGGTACTTTTAAAAAGGTTG